CATCCAAGGCTGGCCACTTTGGGAGACACGAACTCAAAGTAAAACAACAAGTCCTGGGAGAGTAGCTCAGTGCTGGAGTACTTGCCAAGCATGTACAAGGTCCTGGGTTTGATCACAAAGCTACTATCAAAATATAAACAAATAAACACAATAAACTGGGTAGCTTATAAACAATGAAAATGTGTTGTCTTCTGTGTTGAAGGTGACAAGTTCAGAATCTAGGTGTTAGCAGTTTTGTTGTCTGGGGAGGCATTGATTTGGTTTCTAGATGGCACCTTCCCATTATGTCCTTACTTGCAAGAAGGGGTGAACAAGTTCTCTTGGAACTATTTGACAGTTCCTAAACCCAGTCCCCTCACAATGATTTTCACTTTCAGACTGGCTTTCTTTCTTCTTTTTTTTCAATCAAAGCCCAAGTAGTAGACTGATTTTATTTGTTATGCATTTGTGTGTGTGTGTGTGTGTGTGTGTGTGTGTGTGTTGTTGGGGATGAGCTTAGTGCATTAGAACTTATTGCACTAGTGCAGGCTAGGCAAGCACTCTACCATCTGAGCTCTTTCCCCAGCCCATGGAGACTGGCTTTCAATGTATAATTTGCAGCACACAAACTTTCAGGCCAGACACTTAAGAGTTCCCACATCTAACCCACCCAGGCTACAAACAAAACCAAAGTTCCATATCCCTGAGCCCACCTGGGGATTAAATGTCATCCATCATTAACATTTCAATCTACACACCTATTCATCTCTTTCTGTCCCAAGAAGGTGACTGGCCCCATCCTTATGAGAAGTAGGACTGGGCTTTTCCATTGGCTTCTGGAGCCTGGGCCAGCTGGGTGCATCCTGGAGAGCCAGGTGGGGTCCTTAGGGTCCTGTCTCCTGAAGTTGCCTCTTATTCTCTGTGGCTCTGCAGACACTGTGAGCCCCACACTGACACAATCACAACACAGCTGTGAAGATGTTTCTCTCTGGGGTGTGTCCAGGAAGAGGCCTTGACATGTCAGGAGGTCCAGACACATAGCAGAAGGGATTCTTGTCTCTGGCTCCCTGAGGACCTTTCCATCCAAAATCTTTCAGAATTCCCTCTGCAGCCTCCTGACCATCCCCCACTCACTATGGCATCCATGTGTTGACTTTCCCTTTCACCTCATTGATGTCCCTAAACTTTTCTGGACCCTCCAATAGAAACCCTCTCATCTTTTATCTCAGTAATCAAAAGTGCCAAATGAAGCTCAATATGCCCTTTTGTTCCTCCAAAGCATTTTCTGTCATGGAAAGGCTGTGTCCCTTACTCCATGGACCCTGGGACTCACTCTATACTCTCCCTCTCACCAACTTGCCTATGGGGCACCACAGAGAAACTCCCCTCATTCACCCAGTGCATTTAAGCCCCAGCACAGGGCACCAAGTCCTTTAGGGTTTAAGATGAAGATTGCCGTGTTTCCCATCCTGGACACCAGGGGGCAGACGAGGATAGCAGTAAGCCTGGGTGACTGGATCTCTGCAGAGGTGAAAAGACCTTTAGTTCCTTTTAGTGAACAGGGACTGGTGCATAATCCTTCATCTCTGTGCTGAAAACATCCCTTGTGCTCCTGCTGCAAACATGCCCCTGTATGGTTTTCAGTTCTGAGCATGCACAGGATGCTTCCCAGAGTGGATCCTCAGAGTATTTTTCAGACTTTCAGTAGTTTCAGTAGCTCTTTTGAAGAGCTTTTATTTTTTGGGTGTGGTGGGGGGTACTGGGGATTGAATTCAGAGGCACTTGACCACTGAGCCAAACCCCTGGCCCTATTTTGTATTTTATTAGAGACAGGTCTCACTATGTTGTTTAGCACCTCGCTAAATTACTGAGGCTGGCTTTGAACTCGCAATTTCTTTTTGGGGAGTGACCTTGCATGTACACATCTGCCACACTTTATCCAGTTATCAGTTGATGCATATCTGAGTGACTTCCATTTGTTCTCCTCTTTATTTTTTTTTCCTTATTAGTGGAGACTTAACCCATGAGCTCTCTAAAACTGATCTACATATCCATACCTTTTTTATTTTAGTTTGAGTTGGGTCTCACTAACTTGTCCAGCCTGGCCTCCAACTTCCAATTCTCCTCCTTTGATCTCCTGAGTACTTGAATTGCAATAAGTGTACCATCATGCCTGGCTTAGGCTATTTTATGCAAAACGTGTGTGGAGAGTTTCATA